CCCCAAGACTGCCCGACGCCCCGGCCTCTCCGCTCGAGCCCCGACCATCCCCGACCGGCCCACTCCAGCGCCCTGCTGCTGGAGCTGGGTGTCCCCTCCGGCCAGCCGTCAGCCAAGAGCCCGCGGCGCGAAGAGGAGAGGCGCGGTGAGTGGCCCACTGCGTGGTGACACGGAGAGGGGCTGGTGGGGACCTGTAAGGCAGTAAGGCTGGGGCCACAGCTGCGGCTGGACTCCAAACCACACCCTCAGGACGCTGAGGATGCGTGTTGGGAACTCAGTTCTCAGTTCAGGCATCCAGTGGTCGGGGTGGGGTGGGGGCTGGGAGGGTCAGGTCAGCTGTGAAATAATCGTAGTAATGATGATGATGACAGTGATGATAGCAAACTCTGATTGCTTATTTGTGCCAGGCCCTGTTTCTAGTGCTTCACGGAGATGGCCTCATTTAATTATCATCACAACCCTGTGAGCTAGGTGCTCTGCTACTCTGGTTATACCCATTTTTTTAGATGAAATGTAAGGCACAGAGAGCTCAAGGGCCTTGAGGCTCCCACTCAAATGGCAGAGCTGGGATCCAGGCCCAGGCCCAGGCCCATCGGCTCCAGAGGCCTGCTCACTCTGAACTGCTACCCAATAAACATAAGCGCCATGGAGCACAAAGAGCTGTGGAAATTGTGAGCCAAGTAGCTCATTGTGCAGATGAGGAAACTGAAGCCCAGAGCAGGGCAGGGGCTCTGGGGGACACCCAGGAGATGGTGACAGCCTGACCCTGGGTCCCCTCCCCCACCCTTCACAGGAAACACTGTCTCACCCCCACCAGGGATATCGCGCTCCGCTCCTGGCACCCCGGGAACCCCACGCTCACCACCTCTGGGCCTCATCAGCCGACCTCGGCCCTCACCCCTTCGCAGCCGAATTGACCCCTGGAGCTTCGTGTCAGCTGGGCCACGGCCTTCACCCCTGCCCTCGCCACAGCCTACACCCCGCCGGGCACCCTGGACCTTATTCCCAGACTCAGACCCCTTCTGGGACTCTCCACCTGCCAACCCCTTCCCGGGGGGCCCTCAGGACTGCAGGGTGCAGACCAAAGACGTGGGTGCCCAGGCCCCATGGGCTCCAGAGGCAGAGCCCTGAGTGGGTCAGGCTGCTCCCCATGCTCCAGCTGCTCTTGAGGAGCCACTGCTACACTGGAATCAGAGCCGAGCAAGCCTCTCTAGCTGTCTTGGTTTCGCCCAGGGACCCCGCCCCCTTTGGGGGTCAGGAACACTACACTGCACAGGAAGCCTTCACACTGGATGGGGAGCCTGCCCCCCACACACCTGCAATGTTGTGGGTCCCCCGACTTACCCGCCCCATTGGGGCCTGACACTGTACCCAGCTGGTTAGGAGGACCAGAGCCTGTCTCAGGGAATTGCCCCGAGGGGTGGTACAGGGAGGAGGGGAGGTGCCGGGGAGAGGGGCCGGCCTTAGCTGTCACCAGCACTTTTGACCAAGTCCTGCTACTGTGGCCCCTGCCCCAGGGCTTAGTGTCTGGACCCCCCTGCCCTGGGGGTCATCTGGGGCCGGGGCTCTCTGGGTGCCTTCCTGCTGCCCCGGCCAGGGTTGGGGCCTTGGCCTTGGGATCCAATGAAGCCAAATAAACTCCCCAAGCTGTCTCCCCAAGCATAGCCTGTCACCTTTTGAAGAGGTAACTGGGGGATCCAGACTGTCACATGACCCTGGTGACCTCATACCCCCAGCACAATGGGAGTTGGCCTGGGCCTAGGCTGGGATGCTTTGCGCCGCACTCCTCTCCTGGGACCAAGTCCACTTGAGCATCAGGCATTCAAGGCCCTTCTCAGCCCCACTGGCACCCACGTGCTCAGACCTCTCTCACCTTCTCCCACTCTTGCCAGACTCTTCCCACCATTTCAAGCAACTGTATTTGCCCTTATTCTTCCTGTTGCTGGTGGTCCCTGCTTATCCTCAGGGCCCAGCTGCAACATCACCTCCCCTGGGACACCTTCCCAGTGCCACTTCCGCCCCAAACAGCTCACTGAACTCAGGACCCCACAGCCCTCTGGGCGGCATCTAGGGGGTGTGTCCTGGGTTTGTTTCTATCCCGCAGTCTGGACACAGGAGGAGTCACCCACCCTGACATCTGGCTCCACTCACGCGTCTCTTACTGCCACGGGGTTCTGCAGACTACCCCTCCCACACCATGCCCTAGGGCAGAGGCCCTGGGACTCAGCCCCTCCATGGTTTTATGGGAGTCATGTTCCAGTCTCCCTCTCCCCCTCCCCTGCACACTCCAATGGCAGCCAGACCTTCTGTGCCTCCAGTGTTCAGCAGGGTGGGGACTCGGGAGGGCCGGGCACCAAAGGTTCTCAGGGAGGACTCAGAATGGAGGGAGCATCATCTGTCCAGGGCTCTCAGGGCGTCCTCCACTCCCTACCTCACCACCCAGCCCCCACCTGGCCCATCCCAAGTCCCACCATTCCTCTCCCACTCCGCTGTCCAGGCTGCCACCCTTCCATTACAGATGCCTGCAGTAGCCCCTTCCCCCCAACCGGTCACCTGAGCCACACTTGTCCTCAAGGCCCTATATCCTAACCCACTTTACCTCCTGTTTCTCTCGCCGCTCAAGGTCTTTCCCACCTGGACTGGCCTCTTCTCCTCCCCAGCTGGAATGTCACCCTGCGTCTGCTCTCTTCCCTGGTGTCCTCAGGATCTAGGCACCTGCTGAGTGGGTGAATGGATCTGTGTGACTGAGGTCGTCCTTGAATGAACCACTACAGTGTGATTAGAGCCTAAGTTACCTCTCTGGGCCTTGCCTTCCTCCAGCCTGCCTCTGCCGACCACCCAGCTTAGAGAAGTTGGGCAAAACAAATGTCTTGCCCCCAGAAACTGGAAAGAGTGAGTCAGCTCATCTCCAAGCATGAACTGCCTCCCTGCCCTTCCAGTCCCACTCACCCCAGCTTGTGTCACAGGCTTTTCTCCCTCCCCAGCCACCCACACCTCCTCCCAGCCCCAGGCATCTCCTCCCCAGGCACCTCCTCCCTGCCCCACCCTGCCTGGCCCCTCCCAGGTGCCTGTGGTGGAGCAGTCGGCACCTGTGACATACGCTGAGAGGGCGGTATACCATGGGGGCTCTAAGGCCCTGGGCCCGATACGGGCTACTGGTTGTGGCCCACCTGCTTGCTCTGGGGCTTGGGGCTGCAGTGTTCCAGGCCCTGGAGGGACCTCCAGCACTCCGGCTCCAGGCCAAACTCAGGGCCGAGCTGGCCATTTTCCAGGCAGAGTATGGGGCCTGCCTGCCCCCCGGGGCACTGGACGAGCTGCTGGACATCGCCCTGGCAGCCAAGGCCTACAGGGTTTCCAGCCTGGGCAATGGCTCTGAGACCAGGAACTGGGATCTGCCCTCGGCCCTGCTCTTCACTGCCAGCATCCTCACTACCACGGGTAAGGCCGCCATGCGGCCGGGCAGGAAGGGACTCTTGAGGCCATTGCTACCTGGGGTCCCTGGGGTTGCAGCCCTTCCCCTAGCCCCAGAGTGCTAGACAGAGCCTTATTAGGCTTGATATCATGGCTGGGGCTCCCCACACCAACACACCCCAAATGGTGCCTCAACTTAAGCTGCCAGGAAGGGTGGGGCTGAGAGGCTACCCTTTGAGTCCCAGGAGAGGTACCCAGGCCCCATGGGCCTGTGGCAAGACTGAGAACACGTATTGTGGGATTGATTCTTGGACAGAGGGAAATGGAGTGAACCCAGGGAGTACAGATTAGGACCACCAACTTGGGAGGAGTGTGTGGGAAGACTTCTGGGGGAAGGTATGATGAGATCTTAGCCAAGGCAGGGGGGAACAGGGATGAGACATGAAGGGATTCCTGGCAGAGGGAACAGCATGTGTGAAGGCCCAGAGAAATAAAGCAATGGGACCCACAGCCCTGGGGTTTTCTGTCCTGCAAAGTGTCTAAACATTTTAAAAATTAAAGTCCATTTTTCCATCTTTTGGAAAAACTGGGAAACTAATTTGCACTGAGCCAGAATCCCTGCAAGCCAACATACCGGTTAGAGTCAAACAGGGCTTGCCCATTTGGAGCAGAGTACATGCTCTCCAGCCCACCCCAGTCTCTACCACTCCTTTTTGTCTCACATCTCGCCCCTCTAGGCATTTGAGTTTACAACTCTAGCCTAGCCAGTCCTGTTCCCCAGCATGCCGGTCACTGCCACCTGTTGAGACTCAGCCTCCCCCAATGGCTTGTGGGAGTTGTAGTCCAGGCTCCTCTTCCTGCCTTTGCACATGCTTTTCCAGGCTCAAATGCCCTCTTTCAAGCACACTGCCTCTTTGGCAGCCTTTCATGCTGGTGTCTTGACTGATTTTCCTGCCTGCCTCCCCACCGGAGCCTAGGCGGACTTAGATTCCAGCACAAGATCTGGCACACAGGATGAACCGATACACTTTCAGGAATGAAAGAGTGGGTAATGTCTCATCTGGTGGATTTGGAAGTATCAGTCGAGGGCAGAGCTGAGGAATCTCTCAGAAAGCCAGGCTGTCTCAGAGGCAGGACAGCAGCTCTCAGAATTGTCCTAGTACAAAAGGCCTGGGGGGACAGTCACTTTTAATATTTTCATTTTCCAGGAAAATAAGAGTGGCCCAGAGAGGTTAAGGGACTTGCCCAAGATCCCTAGTGAAGGAAGAGCAGAGCCAGACAGAGACCATGGGCCTGAGCAGTTTCGGCAATCTCAGCCACCAGAGGGCAGCCTTCTGCCAGAGCCAGGCTGTGGGAAGTCGACACCTGGCAGGGCAGGCATCCCACTCAAGGGCTCGGTGCTCACCAACTCTCTTCTCTCCAGGTTATGGCCACATGGCCTCACTATCAGCAGGTGGAAAAGCCTTCTGCATGGTCTATGCGGCCCTGGGGCTGCCAGCCTCCCTAGCACTTGTGGCTGCACTGCGCCACTACCTGCTGCCTCTGCTCAGCCGCCCTAGTGCCTGGGTAGCCACCCGCTGGCAGCTGACGCCGAGCAGGGCTGCGTTGCTGCAGGCCACTGGACTGGGCCTGCTAGTGGCTGGTACCTTTGTGCTGCTGCCAGCACTGCTGCTGTGGGGTCTACGGGGTAACTGCAACCTGCTGGAGGCCATCTACTTCTGCTTCGGCTCGCTCAGCACCATCGGCCTAGGGGAACTGCTGCCTGGTCATGGCCGTGGCCTGCATCCAGTGCTTTACCATCTGGGCCAGTTCGCACTTCTGGGTGAGTCCAGCTGCCAAGGAGAGTGTGGGGGAGGAGAGGCAGGAAGAGGAGTCTGGACTACAATTCCCACAAGCCATTGGGGAGGCTGAGTCTCACAGGTGGAAGGACCCTGCCCTAGGGCATGGTGTGGGAGCTGTAGTCCACACTTTAAGAAAACTGAGGGTGGGTAGAGTGCTGGGAGGTGGGTGGGTTGCATTACCAGAGCCCTGAGAGCTACCCTAGTAGCCACTCCCCCGCCAGGTTACTTGCTCCTGGGGCTCCTGGCCATGCTGCTGGCCGTGAAGACATTTTCAGAGCTGCCCCAGGTCCACGCCATGGTGAAGTTCTTCGGATCCAGTGGCCCTTTGAACGCTGAGGACCAAGATGGCATCCTAGGCCAGGATGAACTGGCTCTGAGCACCCTGCCACCTTCAGCCGCAGCCCCAGAACAGGCCCTAGCTTGCTGACAGGTGTCAGATGATAGAGCTCCTTTCAGGTGGAGCAGCCTGAGGAGGAAGCCATGGGGGAGGGGCTGGGGAAGCCTCTGGAGGTGGTAGGGAAGAGGGTGGATGTGAGGACCTCAGAGAATGTGTTAATAAAAAATAAAATTGGCAACACTGCAGGCTGTGTTTTCAGCTCTTCTTTGGAAATGAGACCTCCCTACAGCGATCAACAACCCAAACCCCATCATCCTTTGAAGGCCAAGGTCAGGCCTCTGGTTAGGTCTCCTCTGGCTGCTGAGAAACCTCAAAGCCGCAAAGCCCCACTTAGGATCGCAGACGACCTTATCGGCCAAGGCCCCACCCCTTTCCGCCTATTGAAAGTGCCGGTAGTCCTGAGAAAGCCCGGGCGCAATGGTTTGGCCTTTCTAACTTTATTGCTCGCGAGTAACAGGAAGGCGGGTAGGGCGGGGGCGCG